AAATTATTAAGGATAGACTGTATGTTATTGTTTTCTTACTAAGACTTCTAAATATTACATGTATTTGACACTGGCTGCACATCTTACTCAGACCAGCCACATCTTATGTGCATGATGTGGTTAGTGGCCACTGTATTGGACAGCACAGAACTAAAACACTAAATGAAGGCAACAAAGTTGAATAGACCAATGTAATAAGTTACAAATTTGAAAAACAACTATTATGTTCCCTTGCCCAGACCCAAGGGATTGTGTGGTTGGTTACTGATCTTTTTATTTCATTGATAGAGAAAATGAATAGATAAAAATTGTATTAAGAAAGAGAATGCCAGTCATCTGCTTGGAAGACATTTCTCTGGAGGAGAAATCCAAAACAGTTGACCATTATTCCTCATGAGAGTGGATATAGTTGGTGTGTTAAAGATAATATTTAATAGATATGGCAAAAAGCATCTCATGAAAATCTTTCTCCCACCTTCTCTTAAAAAATATTCTCATACCTTCTGTTACTGAAGTGAAAAATCTCTTAAAAATGTTCTCACACCTCTGTTACTGAGAGGAAAAATTCACTGAGGTAAAAAGGTGTAGAGATTCATTTCTTTGTTTATATTTCATATGTCTGTTTAAATGATTCTGGTTGAGAAAGAATAAATCTCAATGATTCAGCAGTTTGTCATGCTAAAATCTATGCCGGGTACTGTTCTGAGTGCAGAGTGTGAAGGACAGTATAAGAATTTAAGATCCTTGACTAAGGGGAATTTATATTACAGTTGGTGGTAATGGAGGGGAACACAGATAATTTCAAACTGTGTTAATTATTAGGAGGAAAGTAAAAAAAGCTGGTTAGTGGGTAGCCTCACCAAATTTGGTGGTTAGAGGAGAGACCTATACATAGGTGACCTTTGAACTGAGCCTTCAGTGATGAGATGCACCCAGGAGTGTGCTAACTGAACAGTCTAGACAGATGGCTCAGTATGTGCAAAGGCCAAACAAAGTCAAGTTGCCTTGAGGATGAGAGAGAGAGAGACAGATAACTAGGGTGTGGTCAAATACAGCAGGAATTACAGGAGACGGCTAGTAGGCTATGTTATAGACTTGTTCTTTTTTTTACTTGTGATGAGAACTTAAAGATGTACTCTTAGCAACTTTTAAATATAGTCTGTATTGTTAACTATGGTCACCATGCTATGTGTATGTCCTTGGAATTTATCTTACAACTGGAAGTTTGTTCCTTTTGACCACCTAACTCATTTTACCCACCCCACCACCTCTAGGAACCACAGGTTTGATCTCTTTTTATGAGTGTGTGTGTGCACGTTTTCTTAGATTCCACATATAAATCAAATCAGATGATATTTCTTTCTCTGTGTGTTATTTCACAAAGCATAAAGCACTCAAGTTCTATCCATGTTTTTGCAAATGACAGAATTTCCCTTTTTAATGGCTGAATAATATTCCATTGTGTATATAGCCACATTTTCTTTATCCATTCATCTGTAAACCTGTGTCAATACACACAGGTTGTTTCCATGTCTTGGCTATTGTAAATAAGGCTAAAATAAACATAGGGTGCAGATACTATTTGGGGATTGGGATATCTATTACTTCAGATAAATAACAAAATGGAATTGCTGGATCATGTGGTAGCTCTATTTTTAATTTTTTGAGAAACTTCCATAATGTTTTCCGTAGTGGCTGCACCAATTTGCATTCCAACAGTGCACAAGGCTTCCCTGTTGCCCACATCTTTGCCAATACTTATATCTCCTTTTTTTTATAATTGCCATTGTAACAGGTGTGAGGTGGTGTTTCACTGTGGTTTGATTTACTGTCCTCTGATGGTTAGTGATGGTAGGCAACTTTACATGTACCTGTTTGCCCTTTGTTTTCTTTGGAGAAATGTCCATTCATGCTCTCTGATGTTTTAATCAGATTTTTTTTCTATTGAATTGTATGAGTTCCTTATATATTTTGCATATTAATCACTTATCAGATATATAATTTGCAAATATTTTCTCTAATTCTGTGGGTTGCTTTTTCATTAAGTTGATGGTTTCCTTTGCTGTAGTCTTTAGTTTGACATAGTCCCATTGTTTGTTTTGCTTTTGTTGCCTTTGCTTTTGGTACCAAATAAAAAAAAATCAATGCCAATACTGGTGCCAAGGAGCTTACTCCCTATGTTTTCCTCTAGGAGTCGTAAGTTTCAGGTCTTACATTCAAATGTTTAATCGATTTGAGTTAATTTTGTGTATGGCACAAAGTAGGGGTTGAGTTTTATTCTTTTGTATGAGGCTGACCAGTTTTCTCAACAGCAATTGAATATTGAAGAGATTATCCTTTCCTGATTAAGTATTCTTAGTTCCTTTACTGTAAATTAATGGATCACATATGCATGGGCTCTCTATTCAATTTCATTTTCCTGTGTGGCCGTTTTGTATGCCAATACCACACTGTTTTGATTACTATAGATTTGTGGTTTGAAATCAGGAAGTGTTATGCCTCTGCTTTGTTCCTCTCTCAGGACTGCTTTATAGATAAATTCTGCATTTTATATATATATATATATGTGTGTGTGTGTGTGTGTGTGTGTGTATATATACACATATATATACATATATATATATATAATTTTCAGGAGTTACTGTTCTTGTTGCCCTTCATATAAATTTTATCTCATGATTCCTAATAATGATGCTTATTTATTTTAACACTTTAGGTATACATTTGTTCTGTGATATGTGCTACTCTTGGACAGGATTGTCAGTTTTTTCTGTTTTATTTCAGTTCTTAATCATGATTGTGTCTCTTATGAATCCAGGGATATTTTGAGAAGCTATGGATTGAAAAGGCAAAAGAAGCACTATTAATTGTTCTACTGAAAATCTTTTATTAATATTCACATTTTTTCTTTTAAAATTTTTGTTTCATTTACACTTTTTGTAAGGTCACATATGATGTGGAATATTTGTCCCTCATAGAAAACTATTAACATAACATCAGTTAAAGAGGTTTACAAGGAATAACTTTATTAAGTAAGGGAAGTGCTGGAGATTAGGAGGAAGCAAATTATTTTAGGAACTTAATAATAAATGCTTTGACTCTCATAAGTCAGTTATTTTAGGAACTTAATGATACATGTTTTGACTCTCATAAGTCAATCTCTTATGAGAACCCTTGAATTATACCCTTGACATTCCTTTACTTCTTGAAGAATAAGGTAACTCATTTGATTGAGTCATTGAAGATTTGTTTTACTTGTTTCTCAAGTTGTAAAAGAAGGAGTTCAACATAGAAGTGAGACAGGAACCATGGACTTGGACAGAGTAGGGTGAGGGCCTCTCGAGTAAAACAAAGCAAGATAATCCATTGTGGGATTTGCTTTGGCTTGCTGGGGGGCCCAGCTTATATTTCTAACTTTACCCAGGTGCTACTTTTCTTCCTCCAGCCCTAAACAAATGATTTGCAACTTGGGCAATATAGCAGGCAAGCCCAAAACAATGTAGTAAAAACAGGAAGGATTCCATCTTGAAAATAAGATTGCATCTTAAAACCCAATTAGTTAAAACGTAAGTTTCTTAACAAACAGACAATAACTCAACCCACCTTGGGAGCAAAGCAGGCATCCTTGAGTGATATGCTTCCAGACCAGGAAGCTGCTATCCTGGGAGGAAATCAGAGCAGTAAAATTCTTGTAAATAACCAGGACTAATAAGAAATTTAGTGTTTTTTCAAAGGTAAACATTTTAGGACCACTTAGCAGGTGTACGTCCCTAGCCCTCTGTCCCTCAACTGCCTATAATATAACCCCTGGATAATGCACCACCCCGGGATTCTCTTGTCCCCTCCTGGCATGAGCCAGGAGCCCTGTCCTCTGGCTTCCTCTCTAAATAAAAGCCTCTGCCTTGCTCTCCTGTAAAAAAAAAGTACATTGATGTTTTAAGGTGAGAATCTACTAACATAAGTGAGGAAATAGCCAGGTTCCCAGTTGCACTTAATAGGCAAAAAATAGAAAAGTTAAAAGCAGACCTTGTAGTCGTGGGTCATATTTTAGTCCAGTAGAAGAATGCTTTTACTCTATGGTTCCTTATAATCTGCCTTTTGATTTTTGTCCAATCTTCATGAAAACATGTTGTTATTAAAATATAGAGATGTCAAAGTTCAGTAGTGTTCATCAATGACAAGTCAAGTAAAGCAGGTAACTTGTTCACATGAAATTCATTTTTTAATTTGACACATGGAACAATGTTGCAAACCTGTTCTCAGATATAGGAGGATGCAATAGAAACAACAGGCACAAGTTCTAGGCCAAAAAATAGGACCATATTTTAAGATAAAAGTATAGTTTATTCTTTCTGTCATGTAATGTACTTGGTAGATTATAAGGCATCCTTTTCTTTATTATGATTTTATTAGAGAAAAATGCATATCATTGAAAAGCCTTAAAATGATACACCAAAAGAAAAAAGTATAGAATCACATAGGGTAGAAATAACTAATCCAAATATTTGGGGCATATATTTCCCAACTTTACTTTCTGTGATTGTACCCAGAAATATTATATACTAATGTGATTAGTAAATGTGTGCACATATCTTATTATTCTTAAAACCTACTATGCACCTATCTACAGCTCATTAAAGATAGGCATCTATTTAACTTCAAGTTTTTGTGTGTGTTTTTCACCATATTTAAAAACTCATCTCCTTCTTTAAAATTTTGTGGTTTTTCCCTAAGAATTCTCCACTTTTAATGTGGCAATACACCTCATTTTTAAGCCATAACTAATGACAATTTTTAGATTCCCCTTTTTGCTTCTAAAAATTACCAAAAAAATTCTGATAGCATCCTTGTACAAACATTTCACATTTGTCATGACAATGTGAGTGGAATTTCGAGGACAAGGATGTGTTTATTTTTTAAAAGCTTTCAATGATGTTACCAAAGTGACATTCATGTTTTATCATCTTTAAGTCCACTATATGTTTGATTTTGCTTATATGAAAATCACTATTGCGTTCTATTTTTTTTTAAGCTTTAAAGGGTATTGGTACTTTGGTGTAGGAATTGTTAGTGGCTCTAAAATAACCCATGAAATGATTACCTATTCAGCTTGTGCATAAAACTTTCATATAAAACAAGACAAAACAAAAAATTTTTCTCCTCCCTGCCTTCTACAAAGCTTTCCCTAGAGAATTTTCTCTTTATATTTCTTTCAATTATATTAACATTTCTCTTTCAATTATCCCTTATCAACGTATCCTTCTGTAAGACAATTACAAAAATTAAGTTTAAGGGTTTTGTAAATCTTGGTTTTGTACCATAGCTGCTCCATAATAGTTCCTAAGTTATCATCAATTATGTATCATAGCAGCTAATCAAAGACTTCTTTCTTGAATAAGTATCTCCAGAGATCACAACCTTCTTAAATTGTTGTTTAAAGAAATTTTCCCAGGAGACTCAATTTGGCTTTTTTATGAGACTGGTTTTAATTACTTCCTTTAAAACTTTGCTTTTCTGTTGACATCAGCTCTTGTCAGTTCCCCCTCTGGGCAGTTCCCATAGATAAAACTGCTGCCATGTGACGGAGGGAGGACTGCCTGAGAGACGCAGTTTCCTGCTGAGCTGTGTCACAGTCTCCAGGCCACTCATTCATTCTGATATACTTGAAGGCACTGCCTCTACAAGACCCTGACTTGTTCTCGAGCCTTCCGATCCTCAGTCAGGAAGTTCCTAGAACACCCTGAATAGTCTGGGCAAATTCTGACAAGTCTTTTTTTCTTACTCTTTTTTTTCCTTTTAAACTTATTAAGAGGCAATATTTGGGGAAATGACTGACTGAAATGTGTCTGACTGACTCATGTTTGCCTCATTGGCTTTCAGAGATTTTTTTCATTCTAAAAGAGTTCATGGGTCACTAAATAAACCAATGTTAGGAAATACGTCAGTAAATATCTATGTCTGTGTCTGTATCTACATCAATATCATCTCTATCTATATAGAATATTTTGGTGAAGTATCTACATTATCGTGCACTCTTGATGAAAAATTTCAATCAGTAAGGATCTCACAGCTGTGAAAAGTCACAATTACTTAAGTAGCTTTTTCATCACAATATTGGTAAAAACAGATCAAATCTGTTACTCAGAGGATATTGTCATCTAAATCTTTCAAAGAGAAAAGTAAGTGAAATCTTAAAATCATATTTTTTGAGTGCCAATAGTAACTTTTATCTTTTAGTGTAGGAAACATCTTCTAGTTTTATCTCCACTTTAGTGTAAAATACTACTCAAAGGCTTCTAGACCATGAGTAACTCTCTTTGGTTTGAAGAGCTGATAATTCTCAACACTCAAACTTTACACCAAAAAGACTACCTTTTTGGGGGGAAGGGCATTGTTGACAAGACTAAAACTAAGTATATAAACAAAAGGGTTCTTAGTATCTCAGATTTAAAAATAAGTAATGAATCCCTTGTATAAGCACTCGAGCAAGAATCCTAATTGATGCAACAGTGGAGACAGTTCCTTAGAGACATGAAGTTTCAACAATAACATCAGGCAGTCTACTTCAATGAAAATCATCTGGTAAGAAACCAGACAGACTTCTTATTTTGTTCTCATTTAAAGCACTCAACAATCATAAAAGACTGTTTTCCTCTTCCTGATTATTTTTATCTAGACAAAAAAGGAAAAAGGAAATATGTCAGTATACTTACTCTTAATATTTTAAATGTATCATTTCAATTTTTTTGTAATATACCTGCTGCATCTGAATAAGTTAAAAGATTGCCCTTCTTTAAGGAGAACAACAACCAACTACTGAGATTTCAAATGTTTCAAGATAGTATATCTCTATATTCTATATACATATTGAAATAAAGAATACATATACCTACATATCTAGACAGATATTATATAGAACATAAATATAAAATTTCGTATTTCAATCTCATATATTTCTATATTTATAGTAATGATAAACATAGAGACAAATGTGATAAAACTAAAAGGATATAAATGAATATAACTTGCTAATACCAATCAAAAGAAGTCTGGAAAGTCTATATTAATATTAGAAAAACTAAGTTTCAGAGTAAAATTTAATACCAGAAATAAAGAAGGTCATTTTATGATTACAGAGGTCAGCTTTATTAAAATGGCATAGAAATCCTCAGATTTTATGCTTTTAATAATAGATTTTCAAAGTACATGGGACAAAAACTGATAGGCTGTAAGGAGAAATAGAATACAACTATAGTTACATATTTCAATATTCTTCTCTCAATACTGACAGAACAAATAAACAGAAAATCAGTAAAAAAACTACAGGTCAATATTTCTGATGAACATATATACAAATATCCTCAACAAAATAGTAGTGTGCCAAATTGAACAGTACATTAAAGAGATCATATAACATGAACAAGTGGAATTTATCCCTGGAATGCAAGAATGTTTCAACCTATGAAAATCAATATGGTTAACAGAATGGAGGATACAAATCACAAGATCATCTCATTAGATTCAGAAAACACATTTGACAAATTCAAACCTTTTCATCTAACTGGCTATAGAAGGAAGCTACCTCCCATAATAAAGGCAATATATGTGAACCTACAGCTAACATCATCCTCAGTGGTAAAAAACAGAGGCCCTTCCCTCTAAGATCAGGAACAAGAGAAAGATGCCTACTCTTACCACTTGTATTCAAACTAGTACTGGAAATCCTAGTCAGGACAATTAGGCAAGAAAAATAAATTAAAAGGCATGCATATAGGAAAGGAAGAAGTGAAATATCTTTGACTTGCCTTTATATGTAGTAAACCCTAAAGACTCCACTAAAAGCTGTTAGAATTAATAAACAAATGTAGTAAGTTGTGGTATAAAAATTAATATATTTTATATATTTTGTATCTATAATATATATAAATGCACTAACAATGAACTATCTGAAATGGAAATTTAAGAAAACAGTTCCATTTAAAAAATCATCAATAAAAATACAATACTTAGGAAAAATTTAATAAAGGAAGTGAAAGACTTGTACATCAAAAACTTTAAACCCATGGATGAAATAAAAGAAGACAAATAAATGGAAGGACATCCTGTGTTTGTGGACTGAAAGTCCTATTATTGTAAAAATCCATACTACCCAAAGTGATCTATGGATCCAGTGCAATCCCCATCAAAATCCCAGGGTAATTTTTTACAGAAATAGGACAACAATCCTAAAATTCATATGAAATCACAAAAGACCACAAAAAGTCAAAGCAACCTTGAAAAAGAATAATAAAGCTGGGAGCATCACACTTACTGATTTGAAAACATATTATAAAGCTTTAATAATCAAAACAGTACTACTTGCATAGACAGACATATAGACCAATGAAATAGAATAGAGAGCACAGAAACAAATTCACACATTTATGCTCAACTGATTTTTTACCAGGGTGCCAATACACAAGTGGGAAAGGACAATCTTCTTTACAAATATTGTTGGGAAAACTGGATATCCACTTGGAAGAATGAAATTTGATGCTTATCTCATACCATATACAAAATCAACATAAAATGGGCTAAAGACTTAAATACAGGACTTTAAACCATGAAATTCCTGCAAGTTTTTTGACATTGGTCTTGGAAATGATTTGTTGAATATGACACTAAAAGCAAAGGCAACAAAAGCACAAGTAAACAAGTAGGATTACATCAACCTAAAAAACTTCTGCAAAGTAAACCATTAACAAAATTAAAAGACAACATCCTGAGCAGGAGAAAATATTTGCATTCCATTTATATGATGAGAAGTTAACACTCAAAATATATAAAGAGCTCCTACAATTCAACAACAATAAAAGCAAATGACTGAATTAATAAATGGGCAAAGGATTTGAGTAGATGTTTCTGCAAAGTAGAGGTACCAATAACCAAAGGTGGAAAGACCTCACCATCGTCAATCATTAGGGAATTGCGAATCAAAACCACAATGAGAACTCACTTCACACCTGTAAAGATAGTCTAAAGAAAAATAAAAGCAAAAGATAAGTGTTGTCAAGAATGTAGAAAAATTATAATCCCAGTATACTGGGTTTGGGAATGTAAAATAGTGAAGCCACTGCAGTAAAGAGTATGGAGTTTCCTCAAACAATTAAAGATAGAATCATTGTATGATCAGCATTCCCACTTCTGTATATATATCCAAAATAATTGAAATCAGCATCTCAAAGAGCTATCTGCACCCCCATGCTCACTGCAGCATTCTTCACTATAGCTAAGATATGGGAACCACTTAAATGTCCATCTACAGATGAGTAGATAAAAAATATGCGGTAAAAACATACAATGGAGTATTATTCAGCCTTAAAAATTAAGTAAACCCTGCTGTATGCTACAACATGGAAAAAACCAGAAGACACTATGGTGACAAGCCAGTCACAAATATTGCTTAATTCCACTTACATGAAATATCTAAAATAATCAAACCCACAGAAGCAGAGAGTGGAATGATGGTTGCCTGGGCTTTGGAGTGGTGTTTATTCAGGGGTTTGGAGGAAGGAGAAATGGGAAGGATCAAGCTAAATAATATTTTCTTTTGAATATGCAATTTGGTAGGCTTAGTTTCTTTTATTCACAACCTTCATGATAGTCCTCCACTGCTTGGCAAATTGGTGACAGCTGGCTCAATGCATGGGTGAATTTGTTTTGGCATCTGATGAATACCCAATTTTTAACTAGTCATTAAATTGAGAATTCCTGATAAGAACTTTTCCATGTTTTTTCTAGTAAGATTATAGTATGTCTCACTCTGGAAGGTGCAGGGATAGAAAAGTTAGAATTCTGACACCAAGGAGTAGCCTAGAGGCTGAATTTTTTCAATTCTAGAGTGTTCTTCATTCTTTGTAGGTTAATTTTTAATAGCCTTGTTCTGACAACCAGCAAAATACTGATACCCATTGTCCTCATTTCTTCATTCCAACTTTTAAGTCTTTTATGCTTTCAATTGCATTTTAAGGAACATCTGCCTCTTCCTTACTACTATGTATTAGAATTATTTGAACTTCCTTTTCAATTATCTTAGACTTCCATGTATATTGCTGTTTTGGTTTCCCAGATTTCTTTTAAAGTTCTGTTTTCATGACACACAAAAACCTAATGCCTAATTTAGCTATATTCTGAGTTTGGATACTCATTTTAACAATTATTTTCAACAAGTTAATTCCACAACTGTAATTAATATTTTGACATTATACTTATAACTTTAGATCCTTTTAGAGTAGAGCTTTTCCTCATTTAGATATCATTTTTTCTATGTGATCTGCAAATCTTTTTTTTAAATTTCAGCATTTTATATGTATGTGTGTATATGTATATGCATTATATGTGTATTTCAGCATTTTATATATGCATGTGTGTATATACAGTATGTATTATTATACATATTCCAATAAAATATACCTTTATAAATAAGCTTCAGGATTGTAGATAACAAATTTACTTCCATTTAAAATATTTATTTGGATATGTATTTTTGTTTTCTTTCCTTTTACTTTACTATATCATGCTACTCTTGTTAAAGTTGCTTTAAAAATTTTAGTAATATAGGATTACTAGTTAGCATTGATCTGCTAAGAACTAGGTACTCAATACATTTTAATTTAATCCATTAAATTGTCAGTAACACCAAGATTGGAAGAACACTTTAAATCAATTATTTTCTTGAAAGTCTGAAAAAATATAACCTATTTGTTTCCTGTTTGATTTGCACTAGTTTATTTTTCTTTATTTCAATTTCATTTGCTAAATCACGAGTAAAGTCAGGGTTACATTTGCTAGAAAATTATTTTCGTGTCCTCTGAAAAGAATTTTACTCTAAGAGGTTTTGTTTGCATGGAAATTGAGAGTGAACTCATGGTGGAGTGTTCATTCTGGGCACAGTAAATGTTTGAGAAAGTTAACCTGAGTAGAGTCAGATCAAGAAGGAACAAACAGATTTAGAGCTTTAGTTTATGCTTAGCTTGATATTTTATTTCTGGAGTTGAACATACTCTTACTTCTTCGAGACCAATGCAGGTTTTTTTGGAGGAATGACTGAAGGCTTGTCTCTTGTTTATTTCTGAGTGTAAATAAATGGGCTCAACATGGAAACAATGGACGTCATTAGCACTGTCACATCCTTGTTAATGGCCACTGACTCCTTTGCTGAAGGTTTGACCCAGAGGAAGATAGAGCTGCCATAGGTGATGGAATCCACAATCATGCAAGAACAGGTGGAAAAGGCTCTTTACTGATTCCGGGCAGAGGGAAACGGTTTCAACGTAAATGTAAGAACAACTCACACAACAGTCAGAATGAAGGTCAGCATGGCACAGACAACAACCAACAGCTCTGTGAGCCTTGTGTCTGAGCATGAAATCTTCAAGACAGGAGATACCTCACAGAAAAAATGACATGTGAGTCACAGACTTCCAAATTTAGGAACAGAGTAAGTTGTGGGAATATGATTAACAAACAACAAGCCAGCCAGCCAACAGCAGAGGACAAGCCTCTTGCAGATTCCGCTGCTCATGATGGTCACGTAATGCAGGGGTTTGCAGACCATACAGCAGTCATAAGATACGGCAGCAGGAGAAAAACTTGTTACTTTAGACATGTCAATAAAAACACTTGAATTACACAATTATGTGTAATTGATCTCTCACCTGTTGCTAAGTTGTATAGATACCTAGGAATACAAACAGATGTAAATGAAATGTCTAATGAGGCAAAATTCTGTAGGAAAAAAGTACATGTGTGTTTTAAGGTGGGAGTTCACTAAAGTGAGGAATGTGATAGTCAGATTCCCAGTTATACTCAGCATGTAAGTGAGAAATAGAAACATGAAAATTGTGATCTGAAGTTGAGGGTCATCTGTCATTCCCAACAGGATGAAGGGTGTTATTGTGTGATTTTTCCATCACTGAGAACTATTGAATTTTATTCAATTTCATGTAAACTTTGGAGATATCTTATTTGAATAGAGTGTTACTAAGCCAGAGAGCAATAAGCAGTGATTACTAGAGACAGGAAACCAATTCACCATATAGTTTCTTCTCTAAATTAGCAATTGATATTGCCAGTACTCTGGTGGGCTTAGCTACTCAATTATTTTATTTTATTGCTTTAGCTGTATTGTGATAGATTTGTAAACTTCTTTTTAAAAATAGTCCTTACCACCCCCTTTTCCTCCTTTCACAGTTTTAGTCTATACCCAAGGCAGGATTTTCTCATCTAGTGATTATATTTGACCCACTATGTATTGTGATCCAACAAAATTAAGACTTCTTCTTATGTCTTAAGATTTTCTTATTTCAAAGGTGAATATTTATATTTAACCATTTGTTTTGTGTCTTTCCTTGAAGATTGGTCATAATAAAACATAAATATGTAAAAACTAACCTAAGCTCCATCCGGCTTTGTTGAAACATCTGCAACTTGTATTTTATGTTTTGTCACTATGGCCAAATACGTATTTACATTGTTTTGTTTTGGTTTCAACATGCAACTTCTACATTGTTGGATCATTCCTCTGACTCTTTTTGTGCTTCTCTGGTAGCATGTAGTTTACATCCAGTGCCCATTGGATACACAATACAGAGTATTTTAATGCACAGTCTATTTTCTACCTTTGAGAAATGTTTGGCCCAATGATATTACAGCTGGAAAAAAAAACATTTCTTTTATGCTTTCAGTCTGTTGAGTTAGGAGGTATGAAAAACACACTACTACTTTGTTATCACTTTCTCTAAGTTCAAAATCAAATTAAAAATTCTTACTATACTCTCCACATACCTGTCTTCATTCTCTCCCTCAGTCTTAGCCATAGTGGCAGCACCATGGTGAGTAAGAGCAGAATTTCTATAGCAAGGTTTCCATGGTCTAATACCCAGTTTCCTGCTCATGTCTGTATGACCTTGGGCAAGTTTCCCAACCTCTCAGGACTCCAGTTTCTTAATCTATAACATGCAGATAATAATATCTACTATATACAATTAAAATGATTAGAAAAGGTGATACATTTGTCATAAAATCTGATGCACAATGTGTGCTGCATATATATCAGCTGTTATTTTCTGGATTCCTACAGATAATTCATGTGATGTGAGTTCAAAAACCACAAACTCCTACATGGCTCTTAAGCTGAGTAGCCCATATCTTTTTTCTACTTCATGTTCCTTCAGATTATATTTATTGAGACTTTACCATGTGATAGGTCTTGTAGTCAACACTTCACATTTATTACCTGTCTGGAAAAAATATCTCCCCTCCTATCTGTGTCCTTCTACATTCTCTTTATTTTCCAGGCTCCTGAATTACCCAGAAACAACTATTTATTTGTGATTTTCACTTTGAGCATCACTTCTACTGGAAAGTCTTCTAAAACTGTATTGTCTGTGATAACTGGTCATTTGCTTTCATAGCAAGTAATTGTTCCCGCCACCTTAGCACTCACTCTGAGTAAGTAAGCTTGTGCATATCAAGCAAGGATTGTTTTCCTTATTACTGGGATAGCTACCAAAACTAGCAATCTAAGACTTAAAGTCAATAGTAAGACATATGCTTATTGACTTACCTATACATTCAAATCTGTCATCTGTCCTATTTAGGTTTCATCTTAAAACTGCTTGGTCACCAAATTATTTAAAATTTGTATGTCCTCATATTTAACACTGGGGATGTTTTTTGTTTTTTTTTTTTTTGGCCTTTGAAATAGCAGTTTTGCTAGTGAATAACATCATGTATACCATGAAACTATTATCCGCTTTACATATGTTACTACCTTCCATGGTGGCCAAATTGTTAACCGGCATCTCTTCTTTCTTTGTGCTGTCAAGCAGATAAATAATTGTATATTTCACGATGGCTCTTTTTGCTTTCCTGAGGAATCTGTAAGATATTCAAAGTGAAAATGAAGAAATTTGCATATTTGAGTATATAATGCTATTCATCTTAAAATGTTACAAATATTTTTACATTCCTACAAGATAAATATACTTAATGCCATTTAATTTCAACCCATGTTTATATAACTTGTTTTTTAATCCCTCTTTATTTTGGTAAATTCTTATGATTCCAAAATTTCAACTATTGAAAAACAGCTTTCTGTTCTTCTGTTAAATCTAGTGAATGGACCACTAGATTTAAATGAATTTCCAGCACACATTGATGTCTTTCTTTGTTTTCTACAATTGTTAAAATGTTGTCAAAAAGCATCTTTTTATAAACATTATTGCATGATTTCATAATAATTCCTGAAAATGAAATTTCAAGGAAAAAAGGAGATATTCATTTAGAAATTTGTATAGATTTACAGAGGTGTATCATCATAAAATACTCACCCTCTTCAGATATTAGGGCAGGATCAACTCACTGTAAAACCAGTTACTACAGTTAAACCCCAAGGTTTACTGGTACCATCACTGGAAAGGAAAGATGACAATGATTTTTTGAAGAACTTTGACATTACTAGGGATTGTAGGGACACATCATAGTAAGTGCAATAGATCATTTTAATTACATGGGAGGATACTCTTTTGGGCCTTCTGAACTTCCTTAATCTGTTACTCATCACCCCAGTGGTTCCTAGAGCTTTACAGAGTAACATGCTTTTTCCTGTGCCCTTTGGGTAGCACTTGTTCCAAAATATTCTTCAATTTTTCCACTCTTTAAAATGCTAGTTTTTAAGATGCAAAGTTTCTAGGAAATATTTTCTGGCTCTCTCTTGATAGAAAGTAAAATATTGTTAAAATATTTACCCCTCTTACTTTGAAATAATTGATTTTGTGACTTCTCTGAATACAGTAAGAGGCTTTTACACTATTAAAATTTATATTTGATTTATAAATATATAAGATTTATATTTAATTATAATACCCTCAAACTAAATAACAAACAAATGGGTCTTTGGTGACCAAGGGTCAAACATCACTAATGAGTCTCCTTCATAATGAACCTGGGAGAAAAATCCCCGACAGATGTAGCAGTGGGAACAGTGTCCTTTAGATACAAAGATGCAACAATAGCTACAGGAACCAGTCAAGATACAAAGAAAAAAGCCAGGCAGTCCAGAAGTAGTCTGCCTTTTTTTTTTTTTTT